AAGGATCCCCCCCCCTCCTCCCCCCAGTCAACTTTTGTCAACTTTTCACTGACCTCCCTCTCCCCCCTCTGAGCTGATGTCATCAGTGAACGGTCCCATCATAGTCACCTCTGTCCTGAATTATCACATCTGTTGTAGATCTTTGTTTTGTTTTATTTTGATAAGAGTTTTTAAGGCACTCGCAACTGCCTCTTGTTTTCACGTTAGATCACAGCTCAGCTAGATTTACTTTCTGAAGTTGGAATGGCTGAAGTTTAAAATTCACGGTAAAAATTCAGTACCCTGGTGAAAACAATCAGTCATATTCTTGAAATGTCATCATCAGTATTTTAGAGTTTAAAGAACAAAACAACAAAAACAATAACAACATTCCGGCGGTGACATCTCTTCGGCAGGATTTAGGGAGGTTGGACTGCCTCACCCGCTCCCAAGGGAGGCGGTGGCCCTGGCGAAGAGCACGCCCGTCGGGGCTCCAAACTTTTCGAACGGATAGGCTACCACACATACACACACACACAACAACAACAACAACAACAACAACAACAACGATAACAACAACAACCAGAAAATAAAATAAATAGAAACAACAAACAGTAGTCTTTATAAAATTGTTGAGGATTTTGTTGGGATCAACGACAGAGAGAAAAATGTTGTTTAATATTTCCTTCGGGTCTCTCCGAAGTTTGGGCACTACGCGTATTAGGATGTGTCGGATCGTTAGGCCGGCATTGCATCCGACCCAAAATATTTTTTGTTTTTTAAAATAATCTCCCTGCATGAGGTATCAAGTGCCAGGGAGGTATGGTCAATACGTAAAACAACTCTATGTACTTTTTCTTAATTTTTCTTAAACTTTTGAATGTGTCCCGTTAAAATGGTTTTTAGTTTTAGTTTTAGTAAGGTTTTACGATCCTCGAAACGGCAAACGGTCATATGAGCACCAAAGGGTGGATGTCAACAGAGAAGTCCAAACTGGGAATCAAGCTTACTCTGCTCACCTGTCTAGCCTCAAGAGCAAAAAGTCTGCTTCGACCATCAAGGCACCCCGAAAATAGGAGTTCACAAGAGAGTGACAAACATACAAAAGAAGTGGAGGAAACATGACGATAGTAAGGAGGAGGAAAGAAAAATCAGCAGTTGCCCCTTTGTTGTTTTGGCACAGTATGAGCATGGCATTGATAAATCAGCCCGTTTCCAGGTCTACTGTGCATAAGAACATGCTAATATCCCCCCCCCCCTCAATCTGGGAAAGGTCTAAAGACACCTTCTGTCCGCCAGTAGCACTGCCTTGGTTTAGGAAGAGGGGTGGGGTTACAAGGTTCTTAGGCAGTTGTGAAGAAGAGAGGCCTGGTAGGGAAAAAGCCAACCTTGCTTCTAATGAGGCCAATGTACTGTGGAGTTGTGTTTAATCTATATTGGGCAGCAGAAAATTACAAAATATTTTCATTGCTTATCAGGTGTTCGCCATGAATGCAGTCTTGGTCTATTTTTTTTCACCATCTATGTCTTTGGAATTTGAATAAATTGAAGTTGAAAAAACCCCCAACCCAGTTGCTCTAGAGGAATATTTATTATCAACTGAGCTCTTAAACAATGCTGAAGAAACACACTTTATTATAGGCAACTGTCACGAGTTTGCTGTTATCAGATAAGAATATGTGAGGCATTGTGGTGAAATCAGGCGCTTGTCAAAACAATTAAATCGGAGAAACAGACATTTTTTGTTGTCAATTTGGCAATTTTGATAGATTTTTTGTTTTGTTTTTGGGCTCAACCTCTTTTATGTCCATCTAAAAACACACTTCAATGTGAATATTACCAAAAAACGTTGATTTAAGGTACAAATTATGCAAGTTTTAGTTTTTAAGGACTTTTTAGCTATTGGAGTCACCAAATTTTGACGGCCATTTCCCCTCAAATTTCATAATTGAAACCAGGAAACCTCACCCCCTTCAAATTACAAATATCTTGACTTCTATTGAAGATAGATTGGTATTTTTAAAAATCACTAAAAGTAAAACAATTAAATAAGCTTTCAGATAATACCAATAACTCTACATGCCAAAAAATTGACAAGGGCCTGATTCCACCACGTCATGACACCTATATCATAGACAGCAAAGGATAATGAATTGTTTGCAGAATTATGGTAATGGAGAATGTCTGTAAATCTGGAAAATACTTATATAATTATGACTGGGTTTTAGTTTAATGAAGGATGGAGTGATAAAAGAGCACTCTGTAAGAGAGAATGGGAGAGAGAGAGAGAGAGAGAGAGAGAGAGAGAGAGAGAGAGATAGTT